CAAATAACATGTCATTAGAACAGAAAGTTTGTGTTGTGCTTTTGTAAGGGAGACTCATCTGCTGGTTGGCTAAAGCTGAAACGTTAGGGTGTTGCTGACTTCTGCAAAGGCTTTGAATTTGCAAGCAGCTTTTCCATGAAGTCAGCTCTGTGACGGGCAGGCTCTTTCTTGCAGGAAAGCAGGAACTTGTGTAAAGGGAGGGAAGGGCTGAGCTCTCAGGCCTGCAGGGATGTGTGGGGTTCAGCAGACTCAGGTGAACTGAAAAAGACATGAACAACGAGCTGACTCTGCTGATCCTATGGAATTATCCACACAGCACAACCTCTGGTGAGACCAGTTGCAGAGCAGCCTTGATGCTGGCTGAGGGGAGGCAGAGCAGGAAAGCCTTCCAGAAAAACCACAGAGAGGCTTTGAAGCTGTGGTGAGCTTTCTGTGAGGCTGGGAGAAGCCATGGAGACAGAAGTTTGGAAGTGTCAGCTCAGCACCTGTCAGAAAGAAGCAGGTGAAAATCCTCCAGAGCTAAAGATCCAGTTGGTGATGACAAATCCACAGAAGGCTGGAGTGTTCATGCAGCCTGTGTGTCACTGGGTTGAACTGAGAAGACGCAGGAGTGAGCAAAATTTTGGGCAGAAGCCTCTGTGCAGCATTCCCAAACACACCTCTGCTTTCTGTCTGGGTGAAGCTGCTTTTACCTGGAGCACAGCCTGCAAGGAAGAAGTGGGCAAGGGGGGTGCTGAATTCCTGCATGGAACAATAAAGAAACTTCTGCTTGCCCTGCTGCCCAATTTCAGTGGGCAGATGAGATCTGCCTGGAGAGGTGGGGCCAGAGTGCAGCCAATAATCCTGGTGTCACTTTGTGCAGCTGTGCTTTCCAACCAGAGATGTCAGAGCTATTCTTAGCCATCCCTAGCCACAACACAGAGGCTTGCTCCAGGTCTGGGAACTCTAGCTCAGCCAGGGATTGATCCCACCCTCCCACGTCCCCAGGCAGGAGGTTGCTGCTTCTCCAAGGGCTGGCTGGCACCTGCTGTGCCTGTTGGAGGTTTCAGGGCTCTCTTTGGCCACTGGTACCTGCCCCTTGGTGAGTTGGTGGTGAATCAATCCTTCCAGTGATGTGTGGTTTCAGCTTGGACTCTGGAAAGAAAATTAGTGACTAGGGAAGGGAGTCATGGGTGTTTTATTGCAACACAGAGTGTGGTTTGTGAGGCTGTTTTCTAGAGCTCCCCAGGCCAGGAAATTATGTGCATTTTGGAACATGTTACACTCCATAGGGTTCAGATAATACTTCTCAGAAACTCTCCTCATCCTCCAGCCCTGCTCTAAAGAGAGGTGGGGGGTGAGTCTCATTTGCTGATGTCCATCTGCAGCTTCCTGTGATTCTGTGGAGCATTTAGCTGCATTTCTCCTCAGCTGAACTCTCCAGCTCTGCTTTCCTTCCCTGCTCTGCTCTGCCAAGGCAGGTTTGCAGGACAGCAGAACTGTTTCCCTGCTTCCTTCCGAGGCAGGCCTGACCACAAGGCAGCTGAGATCAGTGGCCCCTTTATGCAGAGCTGTGGTGACACAGAAAGACCTGGGGAGAAAACAAGCAAAGAGCAAAGCTGGAAAGGAAACATGTGGCTGTGTGTGCACCACTTGACCTGCTTGCAGCATCCTGAGCAGCAGGGGCAGGGCTACAGCCCCTTTTGTCAGCCATGGGGGCTGAGGAGGGGTGCAGGGCCTGCCTGCTCTTGCTGTTGTTGGTGTGCTCTGAGCAGAGCCAAGGGCCAGCACTTCCAACCCTGCCCTCCCTGAGAAGGCAGAGAGGTTTGTACACTGAGTTATCAGCTGAGCTGATAATGCAGCATGGCACTGTGAGGGAGGCTCACAGCAGCATTGCAGCAACTTTTGTCTCCTTGCAGCATGTGAAAAGGGTGGAAGGAACAGGCTGCCCTGTTCTGGGGCAGGAGCCTTGAATTCTGCTTGCTTTGATGCTGGCAGCTGCTCTGCCTGTGCTGCCTTGAGCAGGCTCCTCCCAGCGCTGCTGGGGCTCCGTGTGACCTGTGAGGGTGGTACTGCAGACTACAGGGATAACTTAAATGCTCTAGTTGAGTCCAGACCAAGTTTGGAGATGCTCAAAATACATTTTTTGTGTGTATTTGTGAAGCGGGTCTAGTTTGGATTAGTACAACCTCCTAAACCATGGTCACGAGGCAGAGCCTCCAGGGCTGTGGAGGGGGATGGTTTTCTCTTCTGTCCCTGGCGTGGTTCAGAAAGGAGTGAGCAGTGTCCCAGCACCTGCACTCAGGCTTCCACTGTAGTTTTTTGAGAGCCTTTAGTTAAGTAAGCTGTGAGTGACTCACTGAATGGAACTGGTCCCTTGCACAAGACCTGTGCCGTGTTGGACCTTTCTTTGTCAGCTGCAGCGTTGCTGGTTTGCTCTGCCACTAGAGAAACAACTCCTCAGGAGCACAGTCCAGTTCAGCTGTGACACCTGTCAGCAGTGCTGGGAGAGAGCTGGGAGAGGCACTCAGTTCTCATGGAAGGTGGTTAAATCTCTCTGTGTCACTAGCACGGGCAGGAATTCCCTGATGCTCCATACCCACTGCCTGGGCAAAGGAGTTGCTGCACGGGCTGCAAGCACAGACAGCCCAAGAACTGACCTCAAGAACAAGGCACAAGAACAAGCCCAGCCTGGCACAAAGGTTTCTGGTTTGTCACCTGGTTTCTGGAAACTCCATGGAAGGCCATGAGCCCCTGGTTGTGCTGTCCTGGCCTGAGGCCTTGGGGCCAAGCGAGTTGGGAGCTCCTGGTTCTGCCTGGCCTCTGTCTCTGTGCTGGTGCCACAGGAACATCCCATGGCTTTGTCCCTGCAGGATGTCAATGCCTACAACGGGGAGCAGCCTGCAGAGACGCTGCCCTTCCCCATCATTGCTGACAAGAACCGGGAGCTGGCAGTCAAGCTGGGCATGCTGGACCCGGACGAGCTGGACAAGGATGGGATGCCCCTGACGGCTCGTGTGGTGAGTGCCTGGCCTGCCACCCTGCCCTGTGCCTGTGGGGCAGCATGCCTGGATGGGCATGGCCATCCTCAGGAGCTGGGATGGCTTCCTTGGGCTGGAACCATGGGTTCTGTCACGGTGACCCACCGATCCTGGTCGTGCCTGTCCCAAACTAGTTTTTGTCAGTGCTTGAATCTGCTGGACTTTTCCTTTCCCGTCACGTGCTCGCACTAGAAGGGCACAAGTAGTAAAACAAGCTGGCATTGGACACAGGAGCTCCCAGAGCAAAAGCACATTTTCTGGGCATCAGTTGTTCTCTAGATCCCCTCCATGTCCCTCCCCTGTCCCAACACCTGTGGTCAAGCAGCTCCCAGGAAAGGAAGGAGCATGAGGGCTGAGCAGATCCAGCAGAACAGGCAGACAAATGTGCCTGACACTGACACTGTCTCTCTGTACTCAGGTGTTCATTTTTGGCCCGGATAAGAAGCTGAAACTCTCTATCCTGTACCCAGCCACCACTGGGAGAAACTTTGATGAGATCCTGAGAGTGCTGGACTCCCTGCAGCTCACAGCATACAAGAAGGTCGCTACCCCTGTGGACTGGAAGGTGAGGAGCAGGGTAAAGCTCACAGCCAGGCACTGGAAACACGCACTGAAAGGGCAGCCAGCCTCCCTTGGAGGGGCACCCACAGGCTGGGGGAAGCAGCAGCTGGAGGCAGCCTTGCCTCTGAAGGCTCCTGTTTCCTGCAGCATAAGCTCCCAGTGGGTTGGGCCAGCTCACCCACCTCCCAGGACAGCAGATCTTTCCCCAGGGCTTGGAATCGAGGAGCCAGCACCACCTGTCCAGGGGTGCCTATAGGAATGGATGAGCAGACATGGGCAAGCTCTGCTCTGTCCAGCATCGCAGAGAGGCTCAAACTCCCCCCTCCTTGCTCCCTGTTCCCATGGGAGTGCCATGGCTGTGGGATGCCATTGGCAGGGCTGGCAGATGGCACAGCTCCCCCTTTGGATATCTCCCATGTCTCTTGGTACATATAGCTCCCACTCTGCCCTCACTGCTGGCTCCAGGCACGGCCCATGCCCATGGCACAAGGGCTGAGCACTCACAGGGAGGCAGTGCCACCCGTGTCCAGCCCTGCCAGCTCCTGACAGTCCCCATTTGTCCCCATCTGCTCCGCAGCCCGGTGACAGCGTCATGGTGGTGCCCACCTTACCTGACGAGGAAGCCAAGAAGCTCTTCCCCAAAGGAGTCTTCACCAAGGAGCTGCCGTCGGGCAAGAAGTACCTGCGCTACACCCCACAGCCAGAGTGAGGGGTCTGTCTGTCTGTCTGTCTGTCCTGCTGGGATGCCAGAGCCTTCCCGAGCCCAGCTCCTGCCCCTCCGACACCGCCCGATCCACGGCCTCATCCAGCCACGCTGCTGCATGGCAGCACTGATCCAGCCCTCCTGTCCCCTCCAGCCCTCACCCCTCCATCCAAACCCTGCGTGTTCTCCTGCCAGGACGGCGTGAGCAGGCCAGAGGGGACTCCGGGCTCCTGCTGTGGTGTCTCCCCGTTTGGTCCCAGCCTCAGCCTGGTGGGAAGGGGTGTCCTGCTGGGACAGGGAGCTCTGGGGGCTCCAAGCTGCTGCGTGCCTTTCAGAGTAGCCATCTAACCTTTGGTCTCATGTGTAGGGGAGGAGCTGCAGAGCCGAATCTCTCGCCTCTTAACTGCTTTCTTGTCTCATGCTGGAAGGTGATGGTTTCCAGGTTTTGTGGAAGAGGGAATCGAGCAAATAAACTGACCTTCAGTACTACCTGCAGTGTCCCTTGTCTGTCTCTGCTGGCCCCCACGGCAGCATTTGCTGTGATCCCTGTGGCCACGCAGCTGGGATTTGTGCCCAGGCTCTGGAGGGGGTGGCAGCAGCACAGACTGCCCTTGTTCTTGCTCTGCAAAGAAGGCATTTTGGAAAGACAGCTTGTCCCAGGGCACATGGTCTTGGACAAGGCAGTTGTGCTTTCCCTGCTGGGAAGGAAGATGTGCCTCAGCCTGGCCTGCCCTTGGCTGCAGGGCAGAGGGTCCTTCCCTGCTCTTAGGGCATGAGCAGGCACGACAGGAGCCGTGCAAACTCCTGCCTGTTCTCCCACTCCTCCATCTCGGGGATTTGTCAAGAGATGAGCAATGTTTTAATATAACAGTAGGAAAGAAAGCTGCTCACTGAATAATAGCTCATAGGGTGGCTGCCAGCATCCCTCAGTGCCCAGCACAGCCAGCAACACTCAAAAGGAGCAGCTGTTAAAGAAATCAGCTACCTTGGGGCACAAATGTAACCCCCCACCAGCAAGTGGGACTGGTGGGTTTGATGTTCAAGGTGAGCAAAACACTGAATGCAATGAGATCCCACTCTAGACTAAACCTCAGCCAGCACCCACAACCCTCTTTCACTACCCGCTCCCCCCCCCACCCCCGAAAAGGGGTTTATTAATTTTTAATTGCCTTCAGGAACTATGCAGTGAATATTGGTGTATTTCCCCAAATGGCTTTTAAATGAACCTTCATTATGAAACTCCGTATTATTCCCATGTATTATTTTGACTGGAAGATAGGAACAATTGGTCTCTGGGCTGACTTCTGTCCTCACTCTTCCACTCTGCAAGAAAGGGGAGAGGGAATCTACATTTTCAAAAGGAAAACATCTTTTTTCAGTGTAGCTTTTCAGCTTTATCAAGCTGGACAGCTTTTGTAGTTCCCATGCCTGGGCTGCATGAACTCTTGGGCTTCTTGCTGCTCCCTCACTTTGATCTGGTTTCCTAAGGGAAAAAGGAATGTCTGCCCCCTCCAGGATTTCCAGCCAACTCCCCAGTTTTCTGGAAGTGTGAGGACACAGCCCCACAGCAGCTTTTGTGCCAACAGCCTGCTCAGAGCATCCCCTGGGGAAGGGCACTGTGGGGCCAGCACAACTTCTCTGGGACACCACAAAAGCCACCTGCAAATCAGGACAAAGTAGAGCAAATCCTGTCACCAGACCCAAGGGCTTAAAGCCAGCAGGGACAGCCACTGGTGCCACTGCTGAGGCAGGCTGATTGAAATTCCATGGATTTTGCCTGCTTCCCAGTACTGCCATGGCCCCCAAACCAGTCAGAGACACTCAAGCAAACACAAAGTTTGGCTCCAGTACAGCTTGAGTAGTTTTAATCCCAGAGAAGTGAAATGCAACATTTTTCGAGTTGGTAATAACATCCAGAGACAGAAGTCCAAGCCCCCTACTCGGTAAAGTCATTTGTGTTTAAGGCACTCTGCAAAACCAGCTTTCCTCTCTCTCTGATTTTCCCCACGCGGCAGCAGAATACCTGGTTTGGTCTGTTCTCCATAGTGACATTCGTCCATCCTGGCTCCTCCCGCCCTCTCCAGGAGCTGGAAAGGGCAAATCCAGCGGGAGAAGCACCAGGAGGCCGGCTCAGTAAACAGGGACGGGCAGGGGAGGGAGCACGACGACTCCAAGCTTCTGCAGGGAGGGGGCGAGCACCGGGTGCCCTCCCTGCAGGCACCGATGTGGTTCCCTTGCTTCCCCTCCCTCTCCAAAAGGGGATGGGACCGTGGGGACCCACAAGCATCCCTCCCCAGAGGTGCTCCCAGCAGCACCCCAAAATGCAGGGGGCTGGGTGTGGGGGAGACCCAGCTGCCCCACTGTGCAGCAGAAATGAGCCCCCCCCCCATTTCCAGTTGTCAATAAATACCAATAAATAAATAAATAAATAGATAAATAGGTAAATAAATAAGTGACTCGAGGATGGGAAGGGGCACCCCAAGGCTCAGGGCACAGGGAGCGTGAGGGTGGGCATTTCTTGAGCTGCCCCTCCCTGAGATTACAGGGTGCTGCTGGGGAAGGGGGGCACAGGGAAAGCATCCCATGGGGTGAAGCCCAGGGGTCTGAGTGTTCATCCAGCTGCAGGGAACGAGCCAAACTCAGACTCCTACATGGGAACTCTCCCCCAACACCTTCCCTCCTTCCTCTGAGCACCAACAGCCCCAGAGCTCCATCTCCACCCAGGTGTGAACACCCACCTTTTCCAAATGCAAAATGCCTGCATGTTTCTGTAAACGCTGTTTGCATGTGTTTCTTTGCAAACAATTTTTGCAAACTTTTTTTTTTCCCTTCTTTTTTAACGGGGAAATGCCCACAAAGACAGCCCATGCACCAAACCCAGTTAAGTGCATCAAATCCAGCTGTCAGAGGAGTGGGAGCCTGGCAGAAGCCTGGAGAGGTGAACACAGGCACGGCCCTAGGGCTCAGCCAACACCTGCCTGCAGGCTGGGGCAGCCCTGGGGCGTCAGGCACACAGCTACAGCCAGGCACAGAGCCTGACCCTGGCACCAGGATGCTGCAGACATTCATGGACAGAAATTCAGCTACTGCTCTCTCAGTGTCATGGCATCAGCCATGTGCCAAGGCTCAGACTGGCCAGCAAATCCCAAAAGGTGGCGATGCTGAATTCAACAGCATCCCTGCAGCAGTGTCCCCACTCTCCCAGACACCAGAGCCACGGCAGTGCCACAGCAGCTCCCTGGGCTGACAGCAGCATGCAGCCACTTCCCATGGGTTTTGGGGAGCTGGCACACACAGCCTGTGGACACAGCATCCTCTCCCAGCAGGAAGCCCACCTTGGAGCTACCTGTTTGTTGGGGAACCTCTTCCTCCGGCATTTTAGCTCTGATGCTGCCAGAGATGTTTCTGTCCCCCTGGGTCAAAAATATACACCTGCCTCACTTCAAACCAAAAGGTACTTATCCCTCCTCCCCCAGTCCTTAAGGAAAATTATATTTCAAGTTTCTAGCCCCTCTCCACACACACTTTTTGAGAAACAAAACATCAGCAATGGCAACAGCTGCCATCGGTCCCACACCAGGACAAAACCACAGTCTCACAAGAGCAGGACATCTTCCCATACCAGCAAGTTCCCTGTGGGAGCTCTGCTGCAGAAAACACAGCAAACCAAAGCTCAAAGCCCTCTCTCCCTCCAAACCTGCCCCACAGTGAGGCTGTAGCCCCTGCAGAACCCTGACATAGGCACGGAAAGCAGCAGGTTCCCAGCCTAGCGGGAGGCTGGGCAGGAGGAGCAGGAATGTTGCACCAAGGCATCCAAATAAAACGCTCCCAGAGGAAAAATAAATAACTGGATCAGCAGCAAACACTACTGAGGGCAATAAATAGCATGGGGATTTCACAGGGATTTTTGGTCTAAGATGCCTCGGAAGCCCCTGTGCTGGCAGGGCCTGGGGTGCACAGAATTGTCACCCAGCGCTCCTCCCCACGCTGTCCTGCCAGTGGGATAGCACATGGACCTTCCCAGCAGGAATGACCTGCATTCCCAGGGCAGCACAACCTCCCCACGGCGTGAAGAAGGCAGGGCTGCGAGCTCAAGGAGCTGCAGGGCTGCTGCTGGGGAGGACAGAGCAGAGAAAGCAGCAAAAGCTGTAACCACCTGCCCAGAAGTGATGGAGCACCCAGAGCAGCAGCAGCACAGCTATGGTTTATGCCTCTACTGCAACTCCAGGGTGAGATCCTGGGAACTGCCAGCTGCATCCCACAGCATGTGCTGCCCCATGGGCCAGCCGATGCCAGCCATCCAGGCAGCAAGGAGTGAGCAGAAAGGCAAGTAAATCTCCCTGTGACCCCTCCCAAGCACAGCAGAAGCAGGAGGCAGCCCCCAGGCAGCACATTCAACTCCTCCTTCCCAGGCAAACCCAGGCCTGCCCTGAACAGCCTCTACTCGCATCCCTGCCTTCCACAGAGCTTGGGGAGGTATCACAAAGCATGCTGGCCCCTCCACTGGTGGCCCAGCCCATAGCCACCCTGCTCCATGGGTGGCTGGGGAAGAGGCCTCCACGTGAGCCAGCATTTGCGTGGAAAATAAACAAGCACCCAAGCTCTAGCAAGGGAGTGGTGTCTGCAGTGAAGCAAAGCGAGTCCAGGGGCACCTCTGGGCTGGTTTGGTACCACACACACACAGAGCACCCAGGCTGGGAGAATGGCACCGCTGCCCATCTCCTACTGGGCTGAGATTCCATTCTGCTCCCGTAGAAGAGCCAGCAGGACCCAGGAGAGGAGGCTGAGGAATGAAAAGACTTAGTGCACCTTAAAACAAAAGGACATCTAACCTGCCCTTAGACCTCACTCCAAGACAGAAAAGAGCTATGGCATCTCCTACACTCACAACTACTCCAAACACACCCAGACGCATGCAAAACGTGTCCCGCTCCCACCGGGCTGCAGAGGCACCGGCCAGCACCGGGCTCTGCCCCGCCCCAGCCCGGTCCCATCCCACTGCCGGCCCTCCCGCCCGGTCCCAGCAGGCAGGTGAGGGGTGGATCATGGATCTGAAATGCATAGGTACGGACACGGCAGGGACACGGGACCGCAGCAGCCCCCGCTGCCAGCAGGAACAGCCTCCGCTTCTCCCTGCTGCTGGGGGGAAGCAGCATTTGCCACGGGCACGGTTCAACCACACTCATGCTCCTCGTGCTGCCCTGCAAGGAAAGTCGAGTCCTTTATGTCAGACAGCCTCTGTGCCAGCTGCAAGTACTCCATTCTGCTTCCTGGGAAATCCTCCAGCTCAGCAAACCCTCTTCTGCGCCCTTGTGCCAGCCAGGCTCTATTTCTGACCGAGGAGGAGCCACGTTTCCAACCACAACAACAAAGGCAAGAAACCACGAGAGGTCTGCTTTGGCTCGGCAACCCTGCAGCAGGCTGGGGGCACCCAGGTCCTCACCTGCCCTACTTGGGAGGTATCACCACGATGGGCTGCCCTCGCTTGGGTCTCCACATGAGCACCTGGGCGTCGTTGGCGTTGGGCTTCACTAGTGCGTTTGGTGGGATGGGCTCCATCCTGCTGAGGATCCGCGGCTGCTCCTGCTGAGTCCTGCCCACCAGCCGTGCCCGCTGCCCCAGCAGCTGCATGGGGTCCACCTCAATGTCCACTCGCATCCTCCACTTGATAGTCTGCAAGATGATCTTCTCCTTGGTGGTCGTGTTCATGGCCACGAGCCACGTGGTAAAGCTCTGGTCTCTTTTAATCCTGGTCAGCAGTGGCACGTTACTGTTGCTCACGGGCACGGCCCACGTCACGCTGGGGTAGAAATTGTCGTTCATGCTCACCGAGAACCTGGAGATCTTGTTAGTGGGCCCCACCAAGGTCACGGTTTCTGTGGTGTTTCCATACCAGGGGTAGCTCACCCCATCCGAATCGCTGATGGCTTTTACTCGTCCTTCTCGCAGGTCAGGCAGCTCCCAGCTTGACCTAGTGAAGAGGAAGAGGAAGATGAGCAGGGAAATGGCAGCAACAGTGCCTGGCGAGGGATGGGGAAGACAGCAGCACAGGGACCCTCTGCCTGCCTGCAGCAAACTCTCAGGGACAACCCTGAAGAACAAATTCAGCTTTGGTTCCTTGAGCACGTCCAGCTCGAGCCTTTGCTCTGCCAACACAATGCCATTTTAATTAACCTGCAATTAAACTGACTGGGCCAAAACCCACTGCTGAGTCTCTTTGGAGTCACTCTCTCCATAATCAGCTCCTGTGCTGGAGAACAGCTTTCCCTGTCCCCCAGCTGCAGCACCGTGACCAGGGCACGGGCCCAGCCCAGCAGCAGCCCCCTCCTGCAGGAGGAGGTCTGCCTCAAATACGAGACACCTACAACAACTGAATCCCACGATTAAGGCCTGCCACCGGCACGATGGAATCCCTGCAATATGGCTGGGGTAGGGGGGAATTCAGCCCATATCTCTGGCCATGCTACCAACACCGTGTGGCTACGGCGAGGCCTGCACAGCAACAACTCGGGAGCAGCTTTGCAGCAGAGGGGATGGGGCCACACTTCTGCCGTCCCTCCAAGTGATCACCTCCACTCACTCCAACGTGCCCAAGGGCTCCGGTGCCCCACACACACCAGTCTGTCATGATACAAGGACGCAGGCAGGCAGCACAGGGACCTGCTGCTCCCCCAGCACCCACAGACCTGTGGCAGCAGCAGCAGGAGTCCACCAGTGAGCTGCAGAACAGACCCCTCTGGACATCTCCCCTCTTGCATCACCCCTTTCCAAAGACAGAAGACACAGACAGAGAGCTTTGCCCCTCAGCATCCCTGCAAGTCACGCTCAGCCTTGGGAAAGGCTGTTTTCTGGCAGCCACTCTGCCCAGCACCCAACCTTTCCCTCTTCTAACACTAGCCAAGGGGTAACTCCCCCAGCACTGCCCATGCTCCAGGGCCAGCGGGACGGTGTGGGAGCAGCTGTGTGGCACGAGGAGCAGGAACTGGGGTGTCAGGGAGCAGGGCTGGGGTGAAGGTGTTGCCCGTGTGTGCCTGTGGCTGCAGAGGTGGGGTAGAGGGGTGGCACAGGGTGCCGGGGTGCAGCTCCCAATGCCTGGGTGCAGAACCCAGTGCCAGGGGTGCAGCTCCCAATGCCAGGGTGCAGTTCCCAATGCCGGGATGCAGAACCCAGTGCCAGGGGTGCAGCTCCCAATGCCGGGATGCAGCACCCACTGCTGGGGGTGCAGCTGTCAATGCCCGGGGTGCAGCTCCCAATGCCGGGATGCAGCACCCAATGCCGGGGTGCAGCTGTCAATGCCCGGGGTGCAGCACCCAATGCCGGGGTGCAGTTCCCAGTACCCGGGTGCAGCTCCCAATGCCGGGGATGCAGATCCCGGTGCCGTGGGTGCAGCACCCAATGCCGGGGATGCAGATCCCGGTGCCGTGGGTGCAGCACCCAATGCCGGGGTGCAGTTCCCAGTACCCGGGTGCAGCTCCCAATGCCGGGGCTGCAGATCCCGGTGCCGTGGGTGCAGCTCCCGGTGCCGTGGGTGCAGCTCCCGGTGCCGTAGGTGCAGCTCCCAATGCCGGGGGTGCAGATCCCAGTTCCAGGGTGCAGCTCCCAATGCCGGGGTGCAGCTCCCAGTGCCGGGGTGCGGCTCCCGGTGCCGGGCTGCAGCTCCCGGTGCCTGCGGGCGGAGCAGGGCCGGTGCCCGCACCGCGGAGCCCCCGCCGGTCCCGGCCGGCCCCCCGTGCCCCCAGAGCCGTGCCCCGCGCCCCGCGGTGCTCACACGCCGAGGTCGCTGTAGGTGTTGTAGAACTCCATGTGGTTGCAGGCCTGGATCCAGCCCACCACCCAGGTGTGCCGGCGGGCGATGGGCGGCATGAGGACGCGGGCGGAGGCGCGGAAGTACGGCGTGCGGTACCGCAGCACCACCGGCGAGCTCTCCTCGATGGCCGTGGCCGCCGGCTCGATGGTGGCCGACACGTCCGACACCACGATCTGCTCGCGGCGCACCCGCGCCTTGCAGGCCACGCTCTGCAGGCACCCCATGGCCGCGGCCGAGCCGCCGTCACCGCGGGCCCGGGGGGGCGGCCGGTCCCGCCGCCGCCCGCCCGCCGCGCATCGCCGCCCGCCGCGCGGCGCCCGCACCGGCGCCGGCAGGGCGAAGGCGCCGCCGCGTCTCTTCCGGCCCTCGCCGGCCGCCGTACGCCGGCCGCGGCGGGCACGTGCGCGCCGGTGGGCGGGGCGCGCCGGGAGCACCGCCGCGTCACGGGCGGAACCGGAAGCGGCGGCGGGGCCGGGGCCGGCCGGTACCGGCGGCAGCGCGCGCCCGCCGCGCCCTCGGGGACGCGCCGAGAGCGGCGGCGCCGCGGGGCGGGGATACCGGGCAGCGCGCGGCGACGGGAGAGGGAGGCGGCCCCGGGCAGGGTGACATGCCGGGTCCCGAGCGGGCCTGGCAGCGGGTGACCCACGCCCGCCTCCCGCAGGCCGCCCCCCGCCGCCATGCCCAGCCCCCGGAGCAGCCGCGAGCGGCGCGGCGGCAGCGGCGGCCGCCTGGAGTTCCTGTCGCTGAGCCAGCGCGGGCCCGCCGCCCCCGACAGCCCGTCCCGCCGCAGGGAGCCCGCCGGCGCCGCGGCCGCCCCGCTGCCCGAGGAGGACTGCATGAAGCTGAACCCGTCCTTCGTGGGCATCGCCCTCAGCTCCCTGCTCGCCATCGACCTCTGGGCCTCCAAGCGCCTGGGGGTGTGCGCTGGAGAGGGCTCGGCCTGGGGCAGCGCCCGCCCCCTCATGAAGGTCATCGAGGTGTCGGGACACGGCATCCCCTGGCTGCTCGGCACCTTCTACGGGCTCTGCCAGAGTGACAGCTCGGCGGGCAGGGAGGTGCTGCTCAACCTGCTCTTCGGTGAGGCGGGGCTCGCCCCGGGGTGTGCGGGCGGAGCGGGGACCGGGGGTGGGCACAGCCGGGTCAGCCGAAGCCCCGAGAGCCCCGGCTGGTTTTGAGCCACCTGTGCGGGCTCATCTGGGATGCTGGTGGCACAGGAGTGACCCCGCAGCTTAAGGGCGTGGTGGCACCGACACGAGTCACCTGTCACAGCTTCGGGCACGCACTGGCACACTCCCGAGAGCTAAACTGCTCCTGCAGCTACAAAACACGCTCGGGGCTGAAGCCTCTCAGCTCGGCAAGCTTGGCACCTTCCAGGTGCAGCTGGCCCTGTTGAGACAGCAGCCCTTTCCCTGAAAAGCTGCTCTGCCACACAGACATCACCCTTGGCTCCCTGCAGGCAGGGCCTTCGTGGATTGTTCTGTACCAGCCGGTGAGGAAAACCTGGTTTAAAGCACGAATTTTAATCCTGCGTGCTGTAGTATTTCATACACACACACACACAGAGCAGCCTAGGTGTATTTAAGGGGATTCAGTTTTGCTTATTTAGAAACTGTAACAGCTCCAGGGCACCAGACAATATCAGATTCCCTGCTGTTACTCTTGTATTAAGTTGGAAATAATTAGCATCTCACATTTCAATTTTGAATTGACATTTTCTTGGTGGGAAACGTAGGTTTGTGCATCTTTCTCATCTAGCAGCACATGATTAAATTGGATCCCCACAGCAGAACTCCAGCCTAACCTTTGCTCCAAGGAGATCTGTCCCAGCTCCAGGGCCTTGTCCAGCCCTCAGTGCTCTGGGCAAGAGCCACCCACCTCCTTGGGGATCTGTGCCTGGGCTGCAGCACCCATATGGGGAAGAAGGATTCCCTCGTGTCCAACTTGAATCTCCCAGATCCTGTGTAGAAAGAGAAAAGCAATTGATCTAGTTTTACATGTGGAAAAGAAAAAGAAAATTTGGTCTTAAATGATTAACCAAAGGAAATGAACTGAAGTGACCAAAAGATTAGTGTCTAGAAATGTGTCTTAGGACAAACAGAAGTTGGTCTCTTACACAACAAGAAGTAACCCTGGCTGTGAGTGCTGTGCTAAGCTAAGCTGACAGGGATGGAGAAAGCAACCTCTGCCCTACATGAGAAGATGCTCTTGCCAAATACTGGCTGAACATTTATCACAGGGACTTTGCCTCTTCCATGACAATAGCCTTTAGCTCCCATGGGGCAAGCCACCATAAATTAGTCTTGATTTATCTCCTGAGAACCAAAGCAGGGTTAACTTTTCCCCCAGCAGCAGGGAGAAGGCAGACCCCAGGAGCCCTGGCAGCACACCAGCTCTGAGCATTTCCTGCTGACCTGTGCCAGAGTGGAGTGGGTTGATCATTCACCCAGTTGGTTTGACCCCATCACCAGGGCAGACAGCAATGCGGAGTCAGCACTGCCTGGAAGGGAGCTGTGGAGAATTAATGCTTCTGCTGCTTTCAGACTGAGGAGCAGATTGGGACCCGAGTCATGTCAAGATCAGACTGCGCAGAGAGAAAAGCCCTGCAGTGCAGGCTGGGCAGGCCAAGGGGCTGGTGGTGCAGGAGGGGTTGAGGGTGTGCTCATTCTGCTGCAGAAGGCCAAGGCCAGCTGTGTGCTATGCTCTCCCTGCCTGGGTCTTGCAGCTGTGGGGAAAATCATCCTCTTCAGGCAGCTTTGACAGTGATGGCCCTCAGCTGATGGTTCTGCTTTCAGTAACTCCTGTTCCGTCTCTCCCAGCGTTGCTGCTGGACCTGGTGATGGTGGCGGTGGTGAAGGGGCTCGTCAGGCGGCCGCGGCCCACGCACAACAAGATGGACATGTTCGTCACCATCTCGGTGGACAAGTACTCCTTCCCCTCGGGCCACGCCACCAGGGCCGCTCTCGTCTGCCGCTTTGTCCTGCGCCACCTGGTCCTGGCCGTCCCGCTGCGGGTGCTCGTGGTGCTCTGGGCTCTCATCGTCAGCATCTCCCGGGTCATGCTGGGCAGGCACAACATGACGGACGTGCTCTTCGGGCTGCTGCTGGGCTACGCTCTCTACGGCGTGGTGGAGCACTGCTGGCTGTCCCCGGCCACTGCACCAGCCCTCTTCGCGCTCTGGAGCCACTGACCGGCCGCCGGCCTCGGCACAAAGCAGGGGCTGTGTGCTGGGGTTCTGAGCGCGCACGGGGAGGGGATTCTGGCACTGAACTGGCATCCTAAACCCCATCAGTCCGCCCAAGACTTCCACACGAGCGGTGCTGCAGGCTCCAGGGCCTGCACTCAGATGTCTGGTGCTGTCCTGCCCTCCTGCCGGCTGTCAGGCAGGGTCTGCGCTGACTGTTCTCTGGTGACCAAAAGCAGTCTCTGCAGAGCCTGGGGAGGGCTCAGCACACCCATCCGGCAGCTCACTGCTAATACTGTGAATCTGCATGCTCTCGCTGGGCACCTGCAATAGCCCATGGTGTATGTGGTAGCTGTGACTCTGCAGAGGTTTCTCTGCAATCACCTCTGTGTCTGTATCCTATAAATACACTGATCATGCTGCTGTCATAAGCATACCTTGCACAGCCTGCTCTACAACACCTGCCTGGAGGGAACCCACAGGGATCTCTCCTCAGGGTTAGACAAGAGTTTTGCCTCCCTAAGCAATCTCTTCCCTTGCTCTCAATTTATGTGCTGCACTAAGGCTAGATGTCGAGCACATGGCTCCTAGAGTCATTGGGAAAGGATGGTGGCACTGAAGAGTCAATCATTCAGTGGGTAACAGGGTGAGCAGCTCCTGGCAGCAGCCTGCTCCTGAAGCTCTTGTCCAGAGCTTCCCAATTCCTTTTTCCCTCCACAGGATTTTCAGTTTCTCAGTGGGTAAAACACGTTCACAGCAATTCCCGATCTATAGCATATTCAAGCTGCAGAGAGAGTCCTGCAGAGCCAGCCCCTTCCCGCAGCCCAGAAATACACCCAGCCACAGGCCTGAGCCTTGCTTGCACCTCCTGCAGCAAGAGGCCTTGCCTCTGCCAACCATGGCCATGGCTCCCTGTGTTCCAGGCAGGCTGGCTTTCCTCCCCTGGCACCACTGGCAGCCTGTTTTTCACAGGGGACTGCTGGTCTTTGGCAGGAGAGGACCACAAGGAGCCTCTATAAAGAGCTGGGGCTGAGACTGAGCCAGAAAATCTTAGAACACACTTCATCAGGGACCACAGCCAGGCAGGGAGTGAGGGCTCTAGACTGAGCTCAAATAATCAGCTTCAGCAGTGCTGCTGGCACATGGGTAGAGGGATTGGGCCCAGGTGAGGCTCTTTGTGGTCATTGAGGTCTATTAGTGCACTCAGGTCCTGGAATCCACCAATTAAGTAATATTAAAACCAGACAGTGTTTTAAGTGCTGTTCTCCTGGGTAGAATGTGCAGGAGCAGCCTGACGGCTGCTGGTATGAGCATCCTGTCACTGTCACTTGTACAGGGGCTGAAATCAAAGTGCTTGACAAGGTTCCCCTGAAGCTGAGCCCTGACCCAGTGACAGAGCGAACCAGTGAAGCTTCCAGGTCTGGGTTGGTGCTGCAGTGATCAAAAAATAATCCCTTGGGATGCACTGTGTGCTTGGCAGCCAGCTGGGCCAGTCTGGCATTTGCACAACAGCACCAGGACACTCTGGCCAGCCCTGCTGCCCCAAGGCAGAGAGCAGCCCTGTGATGGCTGTGGGAGCACAGGCAGGTGGCACACTCTGGGTGGGCAGGGCTTGTGCTGTGCCGAAACATCTTTGCTCTACCTTTTCCAAAACACAGTGTTTTTTGTCTGCACTTGAGAGTCTGTTCTTAGAGTTGTTGGAGGTCTTCCTCTCTACTTCATGGAGGGTACAGCAGCCACCTGTGCATCTGTTGCTCCCACACGTGTGTGTGCCAGAAAGTTGCTCTTGACTCACTTGCATAACACGCCATGAGGTCCTGGTAGCACCCACCATCATCACTGCACAGCCCTGCTGGGTCACAGGCTGCCTGGCCACCCTCTTCTATGCTTCTCTGCAGCTCCACCAGAGAGACCTTTGCTCTTCTGTGCTTGTCACCTCCAAGCATGTGTGCAGCCCACTGATAGGACAGAGGAGCTTTCTGCTCCACTTGTCACATGGCATTTCTGCCTGCTGCGGAAGCTGAGAGCAGACACCGCACAGCAGACACTGCTGTGCACATCCTGGGTGCTTGCCAGGTATGGGGAACTGTGAATTTCCACAGATATCAACCAACCAAATACCAACCTAAACCAAAATGTCATGGCATGACCCTGGTGCCCAACAGCACAGTTTGTACTGAGTCCAGCCACAGGGGGGTAAAGTTCAGGGCTATGCAGCCTCCTGCAGGAAGGACAAATTCAGAGGCAACCTGCACAGAGGTTTCATAGCAACGGCAGAGCAGTGGAGAGCTCAGAGAGACCCTCTGTACCTGTTGCAGAGAGCTTGCAAAAGCCAGAAGCCAGCTGACAGCAGAGCAGGAAGAGTAGCACTGTCAGTGCTGTCACCTCTCCAATCCTGTGCTGATCCCATGCTTGGTAAGATGCTTTTGATGCTTTTTGACAGGCACAGAGTGTGGGTTGGCAGCTCAGCATCTCTGCCCCGCATAGAGATCAGCCCTTGCCAACAGCAAAGGACAGAAAGAGCTTTATTAAGCTTACTGCAAACATCTTGCGAGTCTTAGAAGGTTAAAACCATTTCAGCTGCAGAGCTTGGCCCCTCTGCCTTCCTCAGCTCTACAGCAAAGTTCTCTGCATATGAAGAGCAAATTTCCCCTGCAGCCTCAGGGGCTGTCTGGCTGCGAGTGTGCCAGGAGCCAGCAGCAAGTTTGGATCCACCTGGTCTGTGGCTCCTGCTGTGTGGGACAACCCTTTCCCTGCTGGTCCCACCACCCTCACCTCAGGGACACCCCAACAGCATGGTGCAACTCTCACCGGGGTCCCACTGCCCACAAGGACTCTGCTAGCCCAGGGGTGAGCCGTGGCTGTAGGGACACTGTGCCGACATGCCCAGCCCAGGGGCACAGGGGATGTGGTCAGTGCCAGCTGCCACTGGAGCAGTGTCACCCCGGGTACCAGAATAAGCAGGCGCGGGCCGATCCTGATCATCCTGGGATCAAAGTGCAGGGCAGCGTGTGTTTCCCCAGCAAAGCACGCAACCAGCGGGATGTGCTGCGTGTCCTGTCCCCGCGCAGCGCCAGGCCGGCTCCTGCGGCGCCGGAGCGGCCGCGCAGGCGGCGGGCCGGCCGCTCCCGCTGCCCTTCCCGCGGCCCGGGAGGGGCGGAGCGCGGGCCCCGCTCCCGACGCCGTGCGCCGCGGAGCCGGGCCGCGGGCCGGGCAGCCCGGCAGCGGCCCCCGCACGGCCCCGCGCCTGCCGAGCGTCCCCTGGGCTGCTCGTCCCACGGCCGCAGGTCGGTGACGGGAGGCCCCGCGCTGCCCACACGCAGCGGGCACCGGGACAGCGCAGCAGGAATGCCCCGGGGAAGGGAGAGGGCAGAGGGCAGGCAGAGGGGTGTCACCCACCCGGGAGGGAGCCGTCGGTCCCCACAGCGCTTCAGGGCACCTCTGTCGCCGGGACTTGGCATGGGCGGGGAGATGTTGAGGCTCACTGACACTCGGTGGGATTTCTCCTCAAGGCATCCAGAGGCAGCACCGCAGTAGTGCAAAACCCAGCATTGGCCAGGTCCACGCCTGGCGGGGGACAGCAGTGGCTCTGCAACCCCAAACAAAGGTTTGAGGGGCTGCCTCTCTTGCTCGGGACCTCTTTGACCAGGGTCAAAGCCTTGCACAGTTGCAGCCTGGCAGCTCAGCCCCGCTGTCCGACGCTGTCCCCAGGCAGAGAGCCGGCGGTGGAGCGCAGCATGGCAAAGAAGGTGGCCATCATCGGCGGGGGCAGCAGCGGGCTGTGCGCCGTCAAAGCCTGCCTCCAGGAGGGGCTGGAGCCCGTCTGCTTCGAGAGGACTGCCGACATCGGAGGCCTCTGGAGGTTTGAGGTAAACCCTGCTGGACACCTGTCCTGCTTGGGGTCAGCGCGGTGACCCCCAGGGGTCAGTGGTGGCTGGTGGGGTGGCAGCCGGCCATAGTAGATCTTCTGGGTGAAACTGAGGGCAGGGACTCCGTGAAAAGAAGCACCTCATCAGCCCCAGCCATCCTTCCCCATCGTTCCCTGAGCAGCGCTGAGCTGTGCCCCGCTCCCACAGGAGCACCCCGAGGACGGCCGTGCCAGCATCTACCGCTCCGTCATCATCAACACCTCCAAGGAAATGATGTGCTTCAGCGACTTCCCCATCCCTGAGGACTTCCCCAACTACATGCACAACTCCAAGATCATGGAGTACTTCCGCATGTACGCCCAGCACTTCGACCTGCTCCGCCACATCCGCTTCAGGGTGAGGGCTGGGGCAAGGGGGAGGTGGCAGCGGGAACGGGGGCACAGGGTGCCTGACACCGCTCCCCTGTGCCCAGACCAGCGTGTGCCGCGTGTCCAAGCGCCCCGACTTCGCCAGCAGCGGGCAGTGGGAGGTGGTGACGGAGAGCGAGGGGCAGCAGGAGGCGGCCGTCTTCGACGCCGTGCTGGTGTGCAGTGGGCACCACACCGACGCTCATCTCCCGCTCAGTTCCTTCCCAGGTACTGCCCTGTCCCCTGGTGTGAGGAGACACCAGAAACCCTAGAAAGGTAGTCCATGCCAGTCCCTATTCTGTCTGCTGCTTTCCTTCCTGGCCCCAACATTTCCCTGCCTTGCTTTGACTCCAGGAGTGTTCCTGTGCTCCCCAGGAGTGGTTTGGTGGGGCACGGGAGCATCTCCAGTCTTTAGGGGGTGATCCTCCAACCTGGCAGCAGGAAGCCAAGCATCCCTTCTCCTCCTGCTCACAGGAATTGAGAAGTTCAAGGGCCGCTACCTCCACAGCCGAGACTACAAGGATGCTCAGGCTTTCACAGCCAAAAGGGTTGTTGTCATTGGGATTGGCAACTCGGGGTCAGACCTGGCTGTCGAGATCAGCCAAACAGCCCAGCAGGTAAGCAAGAGTAGGGTCCCGGCGGGGAGGATTGCCCCTGTCAGCTCTGCAGGGACACCAGGACCAAGGCACTTGCACAGCTGGTGCTCCATGCCAGCACTTGTGTTTGGCAATGCTGGCTCCTGCCAATCCCAGCTGCCAGGCAATTGAGACTTGGTCCCACTCCCCTGCGAGATGCCAGTCACCAGCTCCCTCTGCTCTTTGGGTCTTTACCCAATGCTTGGGCAGCAAAAAGCAGAGTGATCCCAGGGCAAGAGAACGTCCCCCGCAGGACAGCCCTCCCAGGGTCACCACTGCCTTCAGCCAGTGATGCTTCTTTCTTGTCTAGGTCTTCCTCAGTACCCGCCGGGGTGCGTGGATCTTCAACCGCGTTGGAGATGGGGGCTACCCCATCGACACCATCTTAACCACCCGCCTGAAGACATTCCTGCAGGGGCTGCTCAGCTCGTCCGTGGCATGTGACTACATGGAGAAGAAGCTGAATGCCAGGTTTGATCATTCACACTACGGCCTGAAGCCAAAGCACAGGTATCACCAAACATTCCTCCTGCCCACAAGGGATGGTCTGCTTGCTTCTGTGTCCTGCCCAGTTTGGCCATTTGTGTTGGTTTGGAAAGACAGGTGTCTGCTAAGGAAGGCAGGAGCCTTTCCTGAAATGGGGAAGAAAAAAATAAAAAAAAGTAGGCTCCCTCCCTCCAAATTGTTATAAATTTTAAATTAAGGGGGGCTCTCGGGCAAAAATATGGGAGCAAAAATAACATTTCCTTATTAGGGAAGAAAATAAAAATATAAAATAAACAATGCAGTGAACCAAAACAACACTGACAGAGTCAGAACACAACCTGATGCCCTGTTGGTCAGGGTGTTGGCAGCAGTTTAATTGAGAATTGTGGCTGCAGTACTCCTGTAGTGGCAGGTGTGGTTCTGTTGGAGCAATGATCCTGTAGAAAAGGGTATAGTCTTCCTGTAGTGGAAGAGGCAGCTGTTCCTCTGGGAAATCTAGTGCAGAAAAAGCCATGCTGGTCTTCTAGAAACTCAACATTATATCCAGGTAGAAATGCTTGGCTCTTCCCTCTGGGCAGAGCATCTCACAGTGGTGTTATAGTTCTTATCAGTCATGCAGTGACATTCAATAGCCCATGAGCAGCAGCTGCCTCCCCTGAGAGAGGATTGGTTATGAAAGAGATAAGGAAAACTGCCCACCTAACAGAAGACAACTGCCATACAGATGGCAAATGGAATACATCTTGCCTTTCAATCTGGGACACCATTCCCTTCTCCCTGTGCTTTGGACTGGGTTATTATTTTGTTGTGCCCAGGCAATGCTTGAGGGAGCCACCACTGCCCCTTCCAAGGTCTCTTGGAGACAGCAGCATAGGGGCAGCTGCCCCAGAGCAGGGAGCAGCAGTGGAGCAGGACACAGAGCAGATACTCCCTTCCCTGTGCCCTAATGGCTTTTTGCACCTTCCAGGGTCTTTCACCAGCACCCAACCGTCAACGACGACCTGCCCAACCGCATCATTTCGGGCAGGGTGCAGGTGAAGCCGAACATCCAGGAGTTCACAGAG